CTCTGACCTGCATCTCCTGTTCTTGGACAGAAAGGGGACCTCATTGTAGAGAAAGGGGGTTGGGGTTTTAGAAAAGGAAAAAAAAAAAAAAAAAAAAAGCCAAATTCCTCAGTTCTGTGATTCAGGCTCACCGTTTGTGCTGATGCACACAGCTTTATCCCGCTGCAGGGAGTCGTAGCCGTTCTGCTGCTCCACGCACACGCCGAGGCTGTCCCTCCTGTCTGGCTGGCCCACTGTCTCAATCCTACCAAGCCAAAAGATAAGTCAAACTCTTAAGGCTTTAAATCAAAACATACAATGAAATCCAGGCGGTGCCACCCTGGCACACCAGACCCCTCTACTCCACCCCAGGGCTTCCAACAAATTCATCCAACCTCTTGGGGAGATCTCTGCTGAACGACCACGAGTCCGACCACGAGCTTTCCCAACAGCTCTGCTGACCAATGCCCTGTTGGTCTGTAAATCTGCTGCCTGCAAACTTTGCTATTTAATAGAATTCTCTGCTGCCACAGCTCAGAGTCCTGTGAAACGATTTCCAGTTGTCCGAAACAACCCACATGTGCACAGCTACAATCATCCATACCAGATTACTGGTCAACATCACATATTATGGCAACACGGCTGTAGTTTCAGCAACTATTTTAAAATTATTTATTTTAGAACCCCGCTATATTCTGCTGCAAAGGGCTGGGAGAAGAAGCGTGATGTGTTTTGGTGCATTGCTGGGTTTGAGGGAGTGGGGAGGGGGGTTTGTTTTGTTTGGGTTTTTAAACAAAATCAGCTTGGTGCAAATGGCTATTAAAAACAATGCCTACAAGGGCATTTACAAGTCTGGCTTCTGCTCAGCTGCCTTTAGGATTTTGGTCCTGGGAAAGAATCTCCAAAGAAAAAGCAAACAAGTTGTGCAAATGACCCGGGATGCAGTTCCCTTTGGGCCCCAGCAGCTGAGCGAGGCTGCAGTTCGTTACAGAGTCCTTTCTCTCATCCTGCCATCTCTCAAAGGCACTAAATCATACTTGAGAGAGAGCCCGAGTGTCTCAGGAAACTCAGATGGTCTTTTCTAGAAAGTAGAACAGCAGTTATTTTCATTACAGCTTGAGAGAAAGAGCACCATGGATATGTGGTTGTTGCCAAACAACAGAAAAAATTCAGCAGAAGCTTTTAAGAACTGGAGTTAAAGTGGGCAGTGGACTGGCACATAATGGGTTAACTCTTTCAAGACAAACAGGGAAGATAAAATTGGAACCATGTTTTACTTTTGCACTCCATTAGGTTTCTCAGTCCCCTGGGAATGTCACTAAGATAGCAAAAGCTTTGTACTATAAAGCAAAGCAAAAATAAATAATTAATATTTAAATATCTGAGGAGCTTTTCACTTGGAAGCGATCCACCATTTTTTCCCAAAACAACTTCAATGGAGACTTCAAGTTCATTTTGGTTCTCTACTTTAGATTTTAATCGCTGCCTGAGTTACTGGTGAAACTTCATAAGCAGCTATTTATCTGTAAAGTAGGGAGGTAAAGCCTTTGTGCTTCGGTAACATTAACTCACTCCGTCCCTAGTTCAGGGAGCCTTTCTGCAGTCTTGCATTGGAAATAAGTGTACGGTCACAAGAATGACTGAACATGCATAATTACAAACTCATTAAAAAGTAGGAATTCTACCACGTCAACCTGTATCCACACTCACTGGCTCGTTTATACAGCCCCCTTCTGCAGAGCCCTGCCACGGTTACCTGGACCAGGAGGAGTAGGAAGAAAAAAAAACATCAAGAGGAGTGATGGCAGACCCGGAGAGGCAGCCTTCCCACAGGACTCGGACCAGGATCAGCTGAATGTTTGAGGTCCAGCCCTTCCAGCAGCACCCACACTAACCTTCCTCACATCGTAATGAGGAAGAACAACCCCAGTGCCCAAGACAACAGCCAAGCTGTAGTTCTGCAGTGGTTTTCCTCCTCTCGACTGCATGGGCAAGGCCAGGATCTGCTATAGATCACCATTCCTTTCTCCTGGGATTTTTCTGATTTTTCAGCAATTAATAATGAGCCCAAGCAGAGCCCAGAGCATCACTGCACAGTCTCCTAAGCTTCACTTTACTAAGCTGATTTTTCCTATCATATTAACAAAATTATTCTCCAACCCCTATGATCCCTGGGACTTAAAATTTTTAAAAAAAACTCAGAATACATGGTCGGAAGACTGCTCAGTGGGACACTGAACCCCTTCTCACCACTTCCAATGCTGCAGAGCAAAACCTTGCCCCTGCCACAGCAGCACAGAGACACCGAACCAGTTCAACCACCACCAGTTTCCATTTGTCTCAGAGCACAGAGAAGTAGATCCATGGGTGATCACACGCGCTTCCTCTGTCTGAGCTGTCATTAGAGCTGTGGTGGGCTCCCCATGGAGTCAGCGTGAGCTTCACAGGGTGTCTGCTGGCTGATCCCACCCCACCAGCCTGGCCAGACTGACTGTGGCCGCCCACAGCAAGAGCTTTAGCGAGCGCCGCGGAGAAACCTTCCCTCTCCCAAGGGCGGCTCCTTAAAGGCTGCGAAGAAACAGGAGGAGCCCTGACTTAAAGCAGTGATGTTCTCCTACAACTTGTGCAAACGCCTCACCTCAGAGGGTAACTAAAGCAGTCTGTCTGTGAAAAGCAGACACAAAGCACTGTGTTCACCACAGCTTCACTTTCCACTGATTAGCTACTCCTGTGTCCCGAAAGCAAAAGAATACAAAGCTGCTCCACAAACATCTGTAACGTGAACCTTACTTATTTGTTGTGCTCTGCAAAGCCACTTATCCCCCTGTGAATATACTTTTGTTTCAACAGATGGAGAAAGCCAAGCGCCAAGTACTCCCTGCTCAGGAAAATCTCACACGCTTTCAAAACAAGAAGCAACTCTTGGACCTTGGAAGAGGAACACAATGATATTTGAAATTGTCTTCAATCTTAACATTTGTGTCATTATAGTTCTTGTGGACACGTGCTTGTTAGTGCTCTGCCATCCTGAAACAATCTCCTCTTGGAGTGGAATCTCCATTACCAAAATGTCAAGCAAAAGATTTTCATGTGTTACCAATAAAAAAAGATAAAAGGCGTTGGTCTGAAAGAAAACCAAGGGAAACCTCAAAGTTCTGCCTTTAATTTCACAGGCATTTCTGAGCCAAGAGATGTTAAATCTAGCAACAGATTTCAAATGAAAGCTTTGTATCTTTTTATCCCATCTCAGACAGGGCAACTGAATACATCCTCATACTACAACCGTCTGAAGTTAAGATAATTCCTTATCAGGAAGGGAGAAATGAGACACTGTGGAATGAGTTACAAAAATACCATGAACAAGCTCCTTAAATTGCCTTTGGGGGTTGCCTACTGTGTGGCAAGTAGTTTTATTTAACCAAGGAAAGATGGAATAAAGCTCCAGAGCCTCTGAGGTCTGTAATTACAACTGACATATCCACAAGGAAGCTCCTCATGCCCTGTTAAACAGCATCATCGCAGGGACAGGACTACAGGCAGCAAAGCTGCCAAGGCTTTTATCACATTCCGTGTCAAAGTGTCAAATGAAAAGCTTGAATTTCACAACATCCCTTCTCCACTCGAGAGTTTCTAATGCCAGTTTCAAGTAATAGTCTGCTCACCACTAATTATCTCAGCTGTTAAAGACATCAGTGCCAGACTGCCATCCTTACCTGTCCCAGCAGCACATGCGTTTTCACGTTCAAAGTAATCACAGCACGTGGATAGATTGGGAGGGAAAGCACCTCCTGACCCAAGGTTAAAAAGAATCAGTGGTGAGACTCCACTGGCTTCTGACCAGCCACTAACAGCTGCTACAAAACTCAGGGAAGTTCAGTTTTCCACAGATTTGCTCAGCACGGGCCATATTTTACCACCCCCAGGAGTTCGCCCTTGTCTCTGCTAGATAGGTGCAAGCCCTACAAAAACATCAGGTGTTTTCCTAAAGAGCCAGGAATTAGGAGTAAAGAGAAGGACGTTCAGACTCCACGCAGACACGCTACCTTGACTGGGGCTGAGCTGATGGAAAAAAAAAAAAATCAAACACACATCATGACTCAGGTTTATATAGAAATAAGGGACTAGAGAAGGAACTTTGGTTCAGAGGAGGGGACCAGAGAACAGAAAGTACTTGCCTGAATGTTAATGTTTGCCCACAGAAATAAGTAGGAGCTTTGGAGTAGAGCACACCACATGACTGAGAATCATTTCGAAGTGCTATGTTTCTTCGACTGCTCAAGCTGTAACCCTCCAAACCTGTCGTCCATTCTTCAAAGAAAAAAAAAAAAAAAAAAAAAAAAAAAAAAAAAAAAAAAAAAAAAAAAAAAAAAAAAAAAAAAAAAAAAAAAGCAAAAAAAAAAGCAGCATGAACCTCAACTAGACCAGTTACTGTCTGGGCAAAGTCAAGTCAGTCGCAATGTCCACTCACTTCACCTCACCTAAAGCTTAAGCTATGTTAAGAACCAGGGCTGGTTTTGTGACCTTCTGATGAAGGTTTCTTTTCAAATCATTTGCAATTACAAAAAATACTTCCGAGCTCACAAGGTCACCGGAATCTCACTCTGCTATGATCCCTGTGAAGTCATTTTGTAGGTAAAGCAAAACTGTCTTGACCCACTGCTCTTAAAAACTTGCAAGTGAAGAAAAAAATTTAGGTTTTTCTTACTCCAATATAAGAGCTTGTTATATGACTGCAGGTCATCAAACAATGCTTAGGTAGGGGTGAGGGACAAGGTGAAAAAACGCCTCATTTCTGGCTCATTGATATTTTCCAAGGCTAAGCAGTGAGAGACCTGCTGGAAAGGCTCGGTATCACTCACACTATGAAGCAAAGAATAAATTCTAGGATGAAAAGATACATTACACACACGTATCACAGCTAACCTCATCGTCATACAAAGCAGCTCCATAAGTCATTCAGCCATAGACCTTCAGGAGCTGCACTGAGGCCATGGGCTGAAGACAAAGAGCAAGGTGACAGTACCATGTGGAACCAGCGTGGTGCGGCCGCACTGAGGAACGCTCCACGGACTCCACTCCTGCCGTCCATCCCCTCGGGCACAGACTCTGAACTGGTAATCAACGTTGGGATCAATGTGCAGCACTATGAACTCTGTCTCCGAGCCCACATACACATCTTCAAAGTGACTGGCAGTACTCTTACGATACTGCAGTCTGTAATCTTGTGGTATGAAGTCATCATCCACCTAGAGAAACATTCATTGCGTTAATAAAGGACCCCCTCTTTTTTTTCCTTTCGCCTCCAAAGCGGCACAAGGTAGGGCAGTACTGGGGCTGCCATCAAAGGCAGTTCAGTCACAAGGTAAAGAGCAGAAAGCATGCCTTATATAGAAAACAATATCAATGTCTTAACCAACCAGTACAAAAAGTAGCATAAGAATGGTTTGATCACAGTTTAAAAGTGTCTATAGAAGAAATATTTAACAGAAGGCTTTTCAATTAGTGGAGTATAACGAGATCCTTCAGCCAAAAGCAGAAGACAAATTCGCAGAAGAAATTTTTAACAGCAAGGGAAACTCACTGTTACCCTTCATAAACTGCTCCAGAGAATGATTCCCAATTCTTTACCCTTCATAAACTGCTCCAGAGAATGATTCCCAATTCTTTGGTAGTCAAAAGAGATCTTCCCCCTCGCAAAAGCTCCACTATCCCTCAAGTGTGACCAAATTCAGGGAACTCCTCTGTATCACAGGAAATCAGACCCCAGGTGACAATCTCGCCCATGGTTTTATAACCTGAATCCACATCCTGTACAAGGGAAGGACGGCTGACCAACGGCTGGCTGCTGCTAGAACAACAAAAGTGTGTTTAATGCTGGGAAGGAGCCTAGAGCTGCCCAACAACTAAACCACATCAGAGCACAGCAGTGATTTACTCAAAAATAGGTTTTGTGTGTTGAAGAGAAAGGCTACTTTACTAGCCAATGCCAATATTCAAATATTTTCTCTTTCTATCCACTGCACCTCCCTAAGAACACAAACATGTTTCGGGGCAAAATCATAACAGAACAGGTTCAGCCTCAGCCTGGGTCTGCTAAAATGTCTTCAAAGGAAACAACAAACCCCAGCAGCAACCACAACATCACTAGATGAAGCCATTGCCGCAAAAATAACTTTTAAAGTTTTTAACTACACACTGGAGCGGACTATTCCTTTGAAGGCTGTAGAGAATCTGAAAGTGGCTTTTTCAATTTATTTTTTTTTTTTTTCCCAGGAAACTGAAGTCTGAATGATTTTCACCTAGGGTATTTTACCCACCTTACACCATCGGACTAAAATACCTCCAGGCTTCTCAACGAACTCCTCTAGCTGTACAGGTGGGCGAGACGCCACAGTTCCGTGTCTGAATATTTGATTTTTCAATATAGTAAGAAGGCAGTCATCCAACTGGGCAGACAAACAAGGCACATCAACCAAGGAGGGCACTTCTGGTAAGCTGAGAAAGAAAAGTTTGCTGTAATGAAAGGGGCCGGCTTCTACAAATTCATATTTTGTCCACACACTTGAATCTGTGCAGATTTGCAAAGAGAGAACAGCTGCAGAAATTGGCATGTGCATTTCAAACTTAAAAGACTCAGAAAACATTGTGTTTCAGCCCTAACCAGACTGTCTGTTTCTCAGTAAATACTCCGAAATACAGGCTGTTCCACAAGGAGTGGTTTCATCATTCACAAATAAACAGCCTATAATTGCACAGAACATATGGAGGTTGAAAACGACTCCATTCTGCGACTGCCAGCCCCAGTGAAAGTCTGTGAAACAAACAGGACACTAACAACTCAAACGAATCTTTTAAGGCAGTGGAGCAGAAGGCTTTTATTTCAAAGGAGAAAAGATCCTACAGAGAAGAGCACGTGCCGCTGCCTCAGATCCCCTCAGCGTGGCGGTGCCTTACCTATCGAGCTGAATGTGCAGAGCTTTTTTTGTAAAGCTGCACAGTTTCTCGTTCTGTTGTCCCACATCTCCATTGACTGCACTCTCCCCTGGAATCAAATGGTAAAAACATTCCTCATGAGAAAACGTCCAAGAAAGGCATTCTTTGCTTTAAAGAAGAACCAGTTCTGACACGAACAGCCAATTAAATATGAAGCATTCTCAGCACTTTTGCTAGACTCTTAGATATAAAATAAAATTATAGTTAACAATATAAAGCCTATCTAGCAACTTTTGAAGCTCTCAAAGCTTCCTGTAGACACACCTATAACAGATGTAATAATTTGCCTCAGGTCTCAGACAGTAGCAGAACTGGGGTCAGATGCCAGAAGTCAGGATCATTAATCCTTTCCTCCACCTGCTTTAAAGGAAGAAAAAAGCAAAGCACCTTCACTGAGCAGAAAATTAAAAAGCAGGAGCTTAAAAGCAAACAGTAATTTCAACCATTGTTCTGTTTGCTACAATCTACATGGTAACTATTGTCATAATGAAGGAAATAATCCATGCATTAAAGCGTGGAGATAAACAGAAATCTTTTCATAAGCTTTCCATATAAAGTAGCATCCCACACTTCAGCTTACAGAGACGTACGCTCCCTTCTCTTATCTGATGACTTGATGGTAATTTACAACATAAGCAAGCTCAGTCCTTTTCCAAACGGAGGATTACAAACGTTACAAATCTCTAAAGAAAAGCACACGTCATAATTGGCAGCAGGAGATTTAATAACCACGGAGGCTTAACTCCTCTCTGACTCAGAGGCAACGTCTGCTCATTTTAACGACATGACTTAGTGATGCTGGTACTGCTGCGGAGGGAGCGGTGACCCAGGGGACAGGATGCGCACAGCTAGTCAGGTTCTCAGGAGATCTGATAGAAACTCGTGCAAAACACAGGCAATCTTTGCCACCACCCTGTGATTCAGTAACTTGAGAGATAAAAATCAAACCAAGGCGACTACCAGCTCTCCCAGAGGTTGTGGTACTGGAAAAAAAAAAAAACAAACCACCCAACAAATTAATTCTTAAACATTGTCACTCCTCCTGTGAGCAGGAGGCATGGAGCTACCAAGCCAGCACGGTGTTTAGGCACCAAGCTCGCGTCGGAGTGGAAGCTGGTCCGTCTCCTGCCCGTGGGAGACTGCTCCATGCACTTTAGTTCACAAAAACTGAGATCATGTTGAAAGAAAGTTAAAGTTGAGACATGAGAACAATGCAAGGAAACTGCCAACATACTCATGGCTCAGACATGCTCCCAGTAGGTTCTCCAGTGTGGGGAAAAGAGTCAAGAGCGGCATTCCTTTCTGGCTAGGTATTTAGCATCAGTAGGGTGCAAACTGGCCCTTACAGTAATATTCCACATTTCTGTCTGCCTCATCCTCAGACTTTTTGGAGCCATTTTTCCCCATACAGTGGCCATTCCATCCACAGTGCACATAATCACACTTAATGGGAAAAATAATGTTTACTTCAGCTGCTATTCCATCAAGATGCAAATAACTTTCTTCAACCAACAGAGAGATTTTACTCTTATGGTACCCAAGATGTATTTTGTTTCCAAGTAGCCTGACATAATCCTCTTTCTAGTGTGGAAGGGTGCAGGACACCTCTGCAGTGAGACATTTCCAAAGTAGACACTTCCTGCCCTTATGAAGAGGCTACACTGACATACATACGTCCTAGGATTGGAGTCAAATGCTAACATATGGATTTGTAGGGGACAATACTGATCAGCTCTTCACCTACCCAACTTTAACCTTTTCTTAACATTTGGTTTGAGAGAAGTCCCAAACGAGCCAAATTCGCTGATCGTAACAGGTTCCTTCCAGTCTTCCAGAGAAGACACACCAGGAGGTAGAGCTAAGCCTTAGGATCAGGTCCTGCCTTACCGTCCCGGAGCAGATCATCAGCCGTACTGACTCCGTGCTCTATCAGCTTCTGGCATTCATCCAAGGGTTTGATGCTCTCTTGTTCTATGGCATCCACTTCCTGCAGCAGGGACATCAGCCGCTCATCCAACAGCTTCTTCAGGGTCCCTTTCAAATCATTAAAATGTTGCTCAAGCACATCTCTGGTCAACGTTGCGCTTTCTCTGATCTGAATTCAGGCAACAGGAAAGAAGGATTCAGGATAAAGGCAAAAGCCACGCACACCTTCTATTTTTCTGAACCACCTCATCTGCATCTGCTGGAGAAAAAGCTGCCTCTGAAGTCAACTTCAAAAAAAAAAAAAGGGATGGTTGGTGGGTAACAAACTAGTGGTGTTAGTGCATATACAGCAGGGAAGGAGGCAAAGAAACTAGCCTGGACAAGGGGAAGAGCCTGTTAACTAGGTAAATCAAGATAACCTCTGAGGCTGGAGCTAAATATCAACTGGGTTACATGTACTTCAATCACAGAATTTTTCTTGTCAGAAGAGTCCAAAGGCTGTGTGGGTCTTCTCCCCACTGCCCCTCAAAACTGCTGTAATCCTGTTCAAAAACAACTCTGCCATCACATAGGAGTAATTCTCACTGGAAACAAAAAGATATCAGACTTTTAGAAGATACTAGACTTCTAGAAGACTACTTAAAAGCACTTTTCCAGGCATATCACTTCACTGGGTTTTTAAAATCCTTGTAAAGCTGCTTTCTTTTAATTTTTATTTTTTTTTAAATAGCCACCTTTGGTTTGCCTGTGCTGCAGGGTTACAGGGCAGGGCGAACAGCAAGTCTGTTTTGACTCTGGAATAACTAGACCACAGAAGGTTCTACAAGTGCCTATTAAAATGTTTGCAAACTTGCTGAATCAGACTTTTCGGGAAGAAACCACATTTGAACATCCCTGAGCGAAAGATGCAAAAGTCAGAAGTAAACATCTCCCTATGGACGACTTTTCTAAGTCACACACACAAGGAAACGCTGCAACAGGCACCCAGCCTTACACGTAATTTCTAGACCTTTAGAAGTAGAGACAACCAACACAGGAAGTTCTCTGGTTAGGTAAAATAAATTTCCTCTTTAAGTAATATTCATGAACCTCTGCAGCTGCCACAGCTCAGTTTCCCTTCTCTTGTTATTTCAACGCTTAAGAAAAAAAAAAAGGAAGTATTTAGCTTTGTGAAGGGGTGGGGCGGAGGAAAACAGAACAGTCACTTCTCTAAGCCCACTACCTCCATTACACGCAGATACAAGTTCAATAAGCCAGCCTCAGAACTGCAGACAGAGGCTTCGCAGAAGAGGAAACCCAACTCCCTGAACACACAGAGCTGCGTGAAGCTTGTTGAAAATCGTGTCACATTGGTCCCAAAGAAAAGGATGCAACGCAAGTGATCTAAAGTGCTTTTCCTACCACATCGGCCCACCAGTCCCCAAATAATAAAGCTTCCGTGACCCGAGCCCCGGTCTAAGGCATCCAGCACTTCTGGACACAGGGAATCCTTGGATGTGCTGCGTGGCTGATTCTCTGCGGGCAAAATAGCGCGTGGTACCGAAGATGGAAAGAGAGACAACAGAAACAAGCACACAAGCAAAGAAATTCACCCAGACAGGAAAAGGAAAGAAAGGTAGGGCAGCGAAGCGCCCTCAGCCACTGCAGAAAGGCAAACCAGCTCCCTCTCTGTGCATTTTGAGGTTCCGGGCAACGTTCTGAGATGATGAGGTTTGGATTAAAGACGGTCACAAACAATTCATTTTCTTAAGTAGCTTGCGGTTTTGAAGATGACTAATTTGATGCCCAGCGATCGCCCCCTCAGCAGCAGGACACACCTGGCAGATGCATAGCAGGTTTCTGTGCTAATGGAATCTGCTCCAGAGACATGATCAGATCACTGAGGAAACATTTTCTGAGTTTGGGGTTTATTTTATTTTCCCCTTGCAGAGCCCAATCAAAGATAGTAAGGCATTGGCTCTAGTCTGCAAAAGCTAAAATGCTTAGAGGATGTCTCAGCAGAGAAGCCAGACCTTCGCTGGCTCTCCGCAATCTCCTTACCCACATTTGCATATGTTATCATGCATCTTCAGCACAGAGTGGGTGGGTTATTAGTCCCAATAAAAACTCTCCCCTGGCTTCAGTGCACAGCTGCAGAAAAACCAGCTAACCTGGAACGCTGGCAACACTTATACCTGACCCACAGAGTACGTGACCCACGGAGTTCGGTGCATGGGGACAGCAGGGTTCAGGACAGCAACCAAAGCAGAGAGCAACGTGCCTAGGCAGGAATCACTTAGATGCGAGGGCAAGGAGACGGGCACAACGCTTCCTATAAAATAAGACTTAGCATCTCAAGTACTTTAGAAAAAGTAGTTCCTTTAGACATAGAATCATGACAGAATCATAGAACACCAGGTTGGAATCAACCTCAAGGATCATCTGGTCCAAATTTTCTTGACAAAAGCACAGTTTGGATAAGATGGGCCAGCATCCTGTCCAGCCAAATCTTTATTCTTGCCCAGGAAACCTCCCCATCACCCCAGAACATACATGCTCAGGCCAGTAACAGACTTCAACTCGCACCTGTTCCTTCCATTCCAAAACCCTCCATCTCCAGCATCTACAGAGGCAACACACCGATTTCCTGAAGGTGCAGAGAGTTACCAGGGTCACCACCATCACCACCCGCCTCAGGTCTGGTGGGATTCCTTCTCCACCCTCCTTTTTTTCCTACACAGAATAGTTTGGGTTGGAAGGGACCTTTAAAGTCCATCTAGTCCAACCCCCCTGCAATGAGCAGGGACATCTTCAACTACATCAGGCTGCTCAGAGCCCCGTCCAACCCAATTGGGAAGGTTTCCAGGGACCGGGCATCTCCCACCTCCCTGGGCAACCTGGGCCGGGGTCTCACCACCCTCAGCGCAAAAAATGTGTTCCTTCCACCTGGTCTGAATCTTCCCTCTTGTAGGGTAAGGCCACTGCCCCTTGCCCTTACAGGTCCCACCCGATCGCTGCCGGGCTCAGCGCAGGGGGTGACACAGACGGACGCCGCTGCAGCCGCAGACCGAGCACCTCCGCTGCCCCGGGGAGGCTCGCCGACGGCCGCCTCCCGCACCCGGAGCCCCAGGCGTCCGCCTCCCGCCCGCTGCTCCCCCTCCGGGACTCCAGCGGAGCGCCCGGTCCGCTCCCCACCTGCTCCCGCGCCTGCTGCAGCCCCCGCAGCCGCGGCTCCAGCCCCCGCCGGTAGCTCCGCGCCGCCTCGATGCTCTCTTGAGCCTCCTGCAAGAGGAGCCGCGCCTCGGCCTCGGCCTCCATGGGCAGCCGCGGCGGCGGGCGGGCCTCGCCCCCGGAAGGGCCGCGCGTCCGGGCTAGGCGCCCGGCGGGGCGGG